CACCACCACCACCACCACCACCACCACCACCACCACCACCACCACCACCACCCGCTTTTGTCATTTGACCTCACAGATGCTTGTTTATTTTACATGTCCGCTCAACTTTCAAAGTTCACACACAACTTTGTTGAACTCTCTGGTAAACGGTCGTGCTTGTCATCTCTGGACTTATTTTCTTCCCGGTTTAACGTGAAACCAGAATATCAATGAACCCAGGTTGGACATTTTTAAGGCATTCCACAAAATCCATTGTCCAAAATTCTAACTATTAACTGGAACAACGCCGAAGCCCGGCTGGACCTTGACGACCAGCCACCTTTCTGGACCAGACCACCCTGAGAGGTAGTCGGCCTCATCCCGTTACCTGAGAAGGCCTTTTCTAAGATAGCCAAGCGTGTGTCATTGTTGATTAAATATGAACGATAAAGCCCGATACCCCTTCAAGGATAGCAATGCAATTCCGTGAATTGGTCAACTTAAAATAGCAGTGCGGCAAGTCACAGTTTATTTTCTCTTAGACCACTCGTTCTTATTTGAGGTTGGTGATTCAGAGTCAGGGGCTGGCAACCTAGGGGCGAAATGTTCTGCTTTAGCTGCGACAGACCACCGATCCCCACTACGTCCCGCAAAGCATGTCAGCGGTTAGGAACTTACAGCAGTCGAAATCACGCCAGTTGTTCCCTTGCTATACTACTCTCGTTGTCAGGACACGTAACTGATATTTTTTATCCACATATTTCGAAACAAAAACTTCACACAATTTTTTAACATTGTTTCCTTTTAGGTGGGGGGAAGTAACAGAAATAAGGGTGTGATAGACAGATTGAAAATTAACGAGTTCTTTTGGATTGATGTGTGTATGCATACGAGCATGTGTACAAGTGATACGTGTGGAGGCACATTGGATGTGAGACACGTTTAACTCGCTCACAGAAAAAAGGGCAACCAAGGGAAAACAAAAAGGCGAGGAGGTCTTATAGTTTTATTTGGGAGTTTGTATTCACCTTCATTCAGGAGGTAACTAAACACACGCGCACACCGCTGGACATCGGGTTAGAAATTAGATAAATATTGTGTCGTCAACTTCATACACACCTTAGTCATGTAATAAAAGACACTAAACAGTGTTTAAGGGACCGGGAGGACAATGGGTAAGTCTTTGTGACTACGCTTTGTCATACCACGAAAACAAAACATTAGACATTTTCTTTGTCGATAGAAAACCTAATCAAAAAGGAGAAAAAAGAAAAATTGGGCTTCGTAAATGAGTTTGTGAAGGTGACGAGGAAATCGTCGCCAATCTAGATTTCTGATAAAATGGTTCGACTTAAAAAATAGCCACGATCAAATCGAAGTGGATTTGAGATGTAGATAGTCAAGGACGCACAGCTGGCTCTATACACCTGTAATGCCTTAAAAAGCATTCTGACCAGGAAGGAAGGCTGAGAGGCGCGCAAACAAACGCATACGCAGACCATCGGGTGCACCAGACGTGCGCGTTCGCTTATCGGGCGCACGCGTATCCTTATCAAAATGTTTAAGAAGGAAGAAAAACAAAAAAAACAAATGAAATTCGGTGGATTGTGGGTAAAGTGCCCCAAGGGTCAATATTTGGCTTTGCTGTAAGGCACAAAGAAAAACAGTAGACGGTGGTGATGAGGGGGCAAATCGAGGTGGCACGGGTTAAGATGACGAGGAAGTGTGTGTGTGTGTGTGCAGTGGAGGGAACAGTCAAGGCAAATCGAAGTCAGGCTGGGTTTGGTTCGCGTTGGTGCATATGCATATGCAGACGTGTCCGCACATTTTACATCGAGTTGGCAAGTTATTTCCATGGCGCGTTGGTTACGGAAAACGTTGCTCCGAAAAACGGCTATTTGTAACCGTACTGGGGAATTTCAATGTCTAGAATTAAAAAAATAAGCCTTAAATGCAACAAATGCCCTGCTACAAGAAAATGTGGCTTTGACGACGATTATAACCAGTACAATGAGGAGTTATATGGCGAATTTCGACGAGGGCTTGAATTTCCTCAAATCAAGATGTTTGCCAAAGCAATTTACTGTAAATCATTAGAAAATGGATGTTTTTGCGTGGTCCCAGTAATCTATCAAGGCAGAGGCCACGCTACCGCTTCGCCCCCACCCCCCCAGCCACTGCGTCGGGTGGACAAAAATCGAACTATGAGGCAAGCTCAGGCGCGTGCAGTCAAGTAAATAAACAGAATCGCACCAATAAACTGAGCACGTTGACTTGAAGGAGTGCTGAGCTAACATTGGTCTCTGTATGGGTAAAGAGCACGGAATAAACTCACACGTTTCCGGATAGTATTGTCCGACCGTACCGACCTGAGCTTGTTGACCCTCCGCTTCCGACTGTCCACCGCTCTCTTGTGCTGCTCCATTATTCTGGGTGACAGAAGACGAAGTCGCTGGAGTCTTTGTAGGCAGGTGTCCCTGCGGCTGCAGTGCGTAGAGGCCCTGCCCGCAGTCGAACATGGGCAGGCCCGACTTGGCGTCGGTGAGGGCCGGCCGCTTCGCAGGGGTGCCTGGCGCCGCCATTGGAGTGACCGCAGCTGCGGCCGCGGCAGCCATCGCTGCCATGTGGGCCGCTGACAGCCCCCCTGCCCCTCCGTTCGCCGCGCCGCTGGCCAACGAGACCGTTGGGGGCACCGCCTTCAGAGCCGCAGCCGTTGCAGCTGCGGCTGCCATTGAATTCAGCTGCGTCGGCGTCAGATAAGGAGAGAGTCCGACGCCCTGCCAAGAGAAACAGAAATCGGTTCGAAGCAATGAAGGGGTCTCGAATGAGATTCGGTTCAATCTAAGATGACTGCTCAGCCCTGTACAGTGGTACACAGGATTCAGAGCAGTGACACTACAGTAAATTTAAAGAAAGCTTTTTTTTAAATACAGTAAGTCAACTCGATTTAAGTCACTGGTAAAAGTTACCAAAGCAAGACGATAAGCCAAGCTGTAAGCCAACAACTTGTTTCTCTTTTCGACGTTGGGAGCATCTCACAGGTATCATGGCAGCCCCTTAACAGTGGAACAGGTAAAAATCATATAGCACAAAAGCAATCACGCTATTTTAGATCACTGAGGAAGCATTTACGGTTATAATTTCCATTGGGAAAGGCCATCGTTCAGTAAACCTACACTGTAAAACTTGGTCGATTTATTCATGCTACCACTATTGGTGGTTAGTGGCTTGCCTCTAATCAAAGACGTGACAGTTAAAAAGGTCTACTTTCATATTGTTAGTAACAACTTAAAGCGTGTAAACCGCAGACGGACATGCATGCACGTGCAAGCGGCAGATTACAACAATACAAGCGCAATTTCAAAACAGAAGGAAAAATTAAAAATGTATCGATATGGGCTGTACCAATTGGGCGGCAGCGGCAGACTGCTCAGCCAGATACTGCGGGTCAAGTTGCAGGTTATAACCGAGGAACGGTGACTGATAGAGCGCAGCAAATACAGGCTCATTTATGCAATTTGCAGGACGTTTTCGAGTGACCTGCTGCGTCGCTTCGCCCGTCGCATAGAGGTTCGCGTAGATGGGGTCGATAACTGCTGATTTTGGTGTGAACACTTGGGCTAGCTGTGCGGATGAGTCGAGGTTGGGTTGTTGTGTTGATGTTGGTGGTGTCGGCGTAGGCTGTGATAACTACTTGTCAGCATGCAGTTGGTAGTGGTTGTGGAAGAGAGGTGCGAGCGGCAGGCAGAGAAGGCGAGGTAGACATGAGGGAGAACAGTAAAGCAAACAGATAACAAAAAGAAAGCCAGTGAGCGTGACAAGCAACGAGTGGGATGTCAATTACATGCGAAAGGCGGGGATAAGGGTGGGGCGGGGTGTGTGCTTGTAAAATAAAAACCAATGAGCATGACGGGGAGTGCCGTATGAATAACCAGCAGTTTAAGCGCTAGTGACTAAAGCACGCTCACTTCAACCCTAGCACTTCACCTCAAACCAGGGCTGTTACTTTTGCTAGTACTAAAGGAGTATCTTTATGTGCACTAAAGCCATTTTTCACACCAAAGTCAAATTATAAACGTACTTCAATCCTAGTTAGGACAGTGGTAGTCCTACAGTCAGGATCCTGATTTAGCCAGCAAATGAAAGAAAGCAGAAAAGTATGCACTGATAAAAGACTAGAATCATGATTTTTTTCTAAAGCCCAAAGAAATAAAGATCTATGCTTTAAGGGACTTCGAATGGCTTGCGCTGCCCAAAATGGTGGGTTTTAAAAGTGCGTTAGATGAACTAGTCTCAAGCCAAACAAATTTTGTAATCAATTAAATCGCTTAAAGAAGCAAATACAAAGTAATGGTGCGCCTTAGGAGACTAGAGGAATTTCGAAGTGGCAAAGTTTAGTTCAGCAGGTGCTTGATATTTGCATTCAGATACAGAACCAAAAATTTTCACTGACGCGTTGCTGGCACGACTAGTGGCGTGTGGGCTGTTACGCAAGGGTAAAATTTCCCAAGCAAAGCACCTTTTGGTACATGATGGGGACTCAAAGTGTGAAGCAAATTAGCTGTGGCTAATTACAATGTAGGCATAAATCTAACAGTTCTAAAGAGTGCACTGCACCTCAGAAGTGAAGACTTCGATTAAAGCCCACGAAAAAGCCATCACCGAAGCACAGCAGTTGTGCACCATTAGCCATGCAAAGTGATCAAGAACCACATATTAGTAAAAAGGTTTGCGTTCAAAATGATCGCATGCGCTAAAACGATTTAAACAGGTAAATGCATGTACCCAGCCAACTTACCAACAAAGAGTATGCAGCTGCCATTCCAGGTGCAGCCAGGTTCAACGATGGCGTGGGCGGATAAAGCAGCTTGCCCTAAGAGGAAGACACATCAATTGAAACCGCGACTCACCCTCTCATCTGCACAAGAGACACTTTTCGACACTCACGCAAGTCGATTGGAATGGAGTGGGATAAATAGTAGACAATATTACTTAACCCCTGGCTGCGAATTTGCAGTTCTCAACACCTTTTGCAAACAAAAACGATTTTAATAGTCTCCTTTTAAGATTTACTTCTGTTGAATGGTAAATCAGGGTTTGTATGACCCAGATTATTTCTTCCTCTTTGAATTTGACACCTATAGGCCCCGTGAACAAAAAAGGTGTATCACCCAGGTCGCTCTGAATCGTGAGAGGAAGCTCGCCTTATCGACTTTGCTTGCTTCGTTGAGGACATAACGGCTGGTCAATCTACGTCCTCCTATACCTGAAGTGAATTCATGCATCAATTAAAACGTCAACTCGCGTCAATATACCATTGCGTGGGTTTGCGAACACCGTCGAAACCACAGATCCCTGTTCGTGTAAATACGCATACACGCTGCGGTTTCGGTTTGAGTGGCTTTTGATTGACCAAATGATAACCAGGTAAATTGATTGGCAAATTGTGTAGTGCAAAGGCGAAGGCGTTGAAAACGTGACATTATGGAAACGAAACCGAGAAATAGCTTGTTTTTTGACCACCGACATACACCGTTCACGAACTAGAAACCAAATTCTAAAACCACGAACCGAGTTCGTATTGCATCCACTGATCTTTCTATGGCTCAGTGACAAATTTTTGGCCTCTTTGAACAAGCGATGCATAAATTTACATAAAATTAAAACGTAATTTAGGGGTACATGGATTTTCCAGGTCACGCAGAATCCAACTTAGTAGCGTAAGACTCCGTGTTAATATTTGGACGGAAAGTGACAAACTGAATGGACATTTGAAAACATTTTTAATTTTTAGATTTTCTACTAGCCCTGTAAGTCAGAAAAATATGAATTTTTTGTAGCAACAGCCTGTCCTATCTCTTCTCAAAGCAGAGGCTTAACACCGACTTAAGGTACACCACGATGGCGTCAGATTTGTACATTCTGTCCAAAACGAGGAAAATGGTTACCACGGCTTCTAACCAAACTCAAGAGAATGCTTACGTTGTGCCGACCGGGTATTCGGTTTCCCCTTGGCACAGCAATCGACTTTATTCATCTGTTAGAAGTTTATGTTTTTCGCAATTACAAGAAACTTGGGACCTTGTCGAAAAATTGGATTCGATGCACTTGGCAGTTTTAAAAGGTAGAGCTACAGTGTTCAATAAGAGCATTGAAGGAGTCTATTTAATTCCAAGATTTCGCGTTACACTGGAAATAGGAGCTGAAAAACACGACTGTATGTCACGAACCCGGTAGCTGTTGATGACGTTTGTCATCCTGAGTAGTAGGTTTATAATGGGATACTAATGAGCTCAATACCAGATTCCATGAAGACAGATAATTAATGTGTGGTAATTTTTGCGGTAAGTGAAAATAGAAGACCAAACGTGTCCTCGATGTCTGCTTAGTCCGGGAAAGGGTAGACCTCTGAACCACCACGTCTCTTCAAAACGGTCACAACTTGCAGTCCAGTTGTAGTAAATACCCCGCACTCGTGCTCTTTATGAGTGAGGGAAATGTCGGAATTATTGTCTAAACATACTGTGTCGAATATAAGACTCTATAAACTAATTCGAAAACTTGATAGCTCGAGAAAAGTTAAGGCACAAGCTAACGATGTCATTGTATCAAAAAAACACATAAGTAAGTCTACAAAGGGGGATGTACCTTATAAAGGCAAGGGGTGATCACTCTATGTAAACAATCGTAACGCAGTCCCCACGTAAATTAGCGTAGCCTTCCTGAATGTGAACATGAACCCACGCACAGGCATAGACAACACACAAATCCTCGACTAAAAGCTTCAGGCACTCTTGGTAGTTTATAACGGCCTCCAAAACTTATTTCATGAAAGAAACAGATTAATACATGACACACTAAAAGGAGGAGAATAATTCTGTTTAGTGCGAAACTTAAGATAAGAGTCTTGTATGGCCATTTTGCCCCGTATCCAGGGCAATTGAAAACATACAACGGTCGATTGATTTTGAATCTCACTAAAAACGCGTTTGATGTGTCTTCAAATAAATTGCAGCTGCAAAAGACCAACTAATGAACTACATTTCGAAAATGCATAAATCAAATAAAAAGACGTTTGGACGGACATTTTATTGAGTTGGGATTATTTTCATATTTATTAATTTTTTAAATCATACCATTTGCAAAGTTAATAACTTTCAGCAAGTTCTAATCTTTTGAAATGAGTTTTTAAAAAAGGCACGCATAGTAAGGTTGCCTACACGGACTATTTATGGACTAATGTACTTTTAAAAGCTATTTTCATTGGTGCATTTACTGTGTTTGTTTAAACAAAGATAGGCAGAAATAGTAAGCATTTCCTAAATCGGTATTGATAATAAGAGCATCAGTGATCAAAAGGGAGACAAGACGCTATGCATGGATTGCGTCCCATGCACACAAAATAACATTTTCTCAACGAAATGTTTTTACAGCAATTTTCGACGTCAGATCTCACTTTGATATCGATTTCGGATGTAATAGTTTGTCTGTTTATCAAGGGGAAAATAATAAACGTCAAAGGCCACGTAATTGAACACCATGCACAATATTACCTTCCTGCATCCTCACCTGCCACTTTCACACGTGTCTTACAAGTGTGCAGTTTTGCCATTAACAATTTCATAATTTGATGTCCTACTTTTCAAGAAATTTTTAATCCAACTGACAGGTTTAGGATTGCACTTTTAAGCAGCAAAAAGGCACGTGTATGCGACAAATGTGAACTTTTGCTTTGGCAGTGATACACAAAATTTTCCGCATAGAAAATACTTAGGGTGCTTGAGATTAGGCGAATGCTCAATGGTGTGATGCACACAAAATGCAGTTTTAGTGAATACACAAAGCGATGACGCATAGCCACCCAGCCAAATGGTATGGTACAATCGGGTGTCACATTAGTTAAGGGATAGATGGGAATTTCGAAAGAGCAGCCTAAACCGACATAGAACTTTAGTAAGCCAATTTAATGAACGTTCGTAAAAGTTAAAAATAGGACCAGCCTGTGCTATGTTGCATCCTTTCTTGCAGGTTTACGCTTCCACTAAGTTGCAAACCATTTTTACAGCCAAGGCATTCCTCTCACGTCTTTTGATTGAAACAGTTCCGGTCTAGTGGCCAGAACAAAAGTCAGTGTCTTGCACCAGAAGACGAAACCATCTATATATTTAATCCGATTTTTACGAAACAAATAGTTACAGGTGCTTTGAAATTGCGACCCGCGTTAGTCACAAAAAAAATAACTTTTTGGACGCCGGCCATTTCACAAAGCGAAAAATTTACTTAAATGATGCTTTCATTTGCGCCAATATCGTTGTGAAACCCCTACACTAATAAATTAATGATGCCAAGTGTTAGATAGGATGGGACTTGTTTTAACTATTTTTTCCTACGGGAACATGCACGTACGTTTATTCTAAAGCATTTGTTAACTGTCACATATAACTCGGTTTTTCAATTACTTGCAAAGAATTTAAAGGTCACCTGAAGGCCGGTGTGGAAAGCCATGGTTAAAGATGCACACTGAGCAATTTTAAGTCAATATTTAATCGGTTCATCAAATACGTCGGCTGAGACGCATACATCGAGAATTTGGTTGTTGCGTCAAGATGCTCACTTTGCCTCTTGAATAAGCTCTATTTGACCTAAGTTAATTCAGTGTGGTAGTTCTACCCATTGTGTGTATTCAACGGAATCAATAAGCTGTGAGACTCCGAGACTCAGCCGAAAATCGGTTAGTAAGTTGGATGGAGGCGCTGTCGAGGAGAGCTAACGCAAACCTACCGTGGAGGTGATGGAGGCGGCCGCGGAGGTGGCGGCGGGGGATGCGGGCGCGGCGCCGAGCCGCGAGTCGCCGGCAGAGCCATGGGTTGCCGCAGTCACGGGCACCGTGGGCGACGCCGTGGCCGCCAGCGCCGCCGACAGACCCGGCAGCATTGCGCCTTGTGCGAATTGCTGTTGCAGCAACTGCAACTGCATGCTCTTCAAAATTAAATTGTTTCGACCATTCTGAAGGAGGAGTTCCCGAAGGTGTTGTGGGGGATGGAAGTATTTGCAGGGCGGATCACGCCTTTGACATTTTCCCTATAGAATTCAAATGTTGAAACAAATCAGTGAGTAATGAAAGATACAGGTCAATTTTTATCCTCCGAAAGTAAACTTATAGGCAAATGCGTACCCCTAGGAGCGGCCCACTAATATTCACGCCCAAAATTAAGGTGAATTTGGAATGCGGGTATGTTTATCCCTTCTTACCAACTATGCTGTCCGTCATCAAACTACCAACTAATTGTCAGCGCCAAAATATGTAAAAGTTTAATTAAGATTTTAAAATAAGAGAATTGAACCAGAGTCAGTTTGTGCAAAATAGTGACCTTTGAAGGTGGTGTAACCCAAATTTTGGTTAAGGAATTTCGCATCATCTACTACTCATGCCAATTCATGTGAAGAACCGCTAAGTGGAAGCTTGATGGGAGCCCAGAATGCGCTGCACTGTCAGAATCATTAACGTAGAAGATATGTGACAAACGACTCAGTGATCAAGATGTATTCTAACTCACGTAGGCTCACTTATGAACTTATGGGTGGGTTCGATTTACCTGGACGATTATCGCGACCGTACAGACAAATCAGTAGTCCGGTTCTTTCGCAAGCCCCGGCTTATTTAATATTTTTAAAAAAAAATATATACAAAAAGTAAAATCAACAACTGATAGGCCGCAAACAAACCATCCCTGCCTAATACAATAGGCACAGTATCCCTAACGGAGAGGGCAATTACTCCCGGCATGTTTCGAGCAAGAACTACTCTTCATGTACAGATAACCTTACTATCAAAAACCCGTTAAGACAAAATTGCGCAATTGACGAAATCAGTTAATGGTACACTGGCAGTCTCAAATGGCCTGCACTTGGTCCTAGGATATGTCGAAGAGAGCAGAATTAGCCGAATTTTTTTCAGAACATGGCAAAGATTGCTAAGAAACAGCACTATCAGGTAACAATCAAGTGCACAACAAACCCGGTAAAATCAATTACCAATGTCGCCTCTAACTGGTCTTCTATTAGGGTACTCAAATTTGTTTTTCAAAAGGTATCAAACATGTTAAAGTAAACACAGAAAAGGCTACTGGGTAGAGAAAAAATTGAAAGAAAATGTTCAGTGCCGTAATAAGGTTTGAAACAGATTCAGCGACATAACCCCACATACAGACTTTCGGCTGTGCCGCACGGCCAGCCTACACACCAAGCTGAACCTGAACAAAAGGGAGGCTTATTTTGGTCGTTATCAGAGCACGCTGGACGGGCCCTTAACATATCCTGCCGAGTAGCTGTCAGTTTATTTGGACAATTCAAACCGAAAGGCACACCAGTAAGAAATGAGGAAGAATGAGGTCCCAAGAACTTATGTGGATGTAGCGTTATAAGTTGATCGAGAAAGCAGTGAACTAATGACACAAGTCCATCACGATGAGGGGTGCCACGTTGACCTTGACATTCAAATCGACCTTTGGTCATCCCGCCACCAACTCTGTGGTCACCTTGTGTCGACGGGCTGAGCAAAGTAGGCAGTACGCGGGTATGTACCAGAGTACCGGATATCAGTCATTCCATAAAACAAAAGCATTGTTTTCTTTTCACTGGAAAAAGTGTAAATAGGGTTGTCTTTTTTTAACTCAGCACAAACTCTTCCCTGGTAGCTGTTTTGCATGACGTTCTCAGTGTTCAAAAAAGTGAAGCTGGTAATAACGAGATTTAAAATAGTGGACGACAAACAGAGACCACTTAATTCAGACAGATTAAACACGCAAAATATGAGGCGTCATGTCCAAGTAAGGGGAAAATATGTATGGGCTTATGGCATTTCAACGCCAAATTGTACCTCAAAAGCAAAACTTTTGCATGTGAGTAAATGACAAGAAACACCGAAACAAGCGTTCCGTCGAAAAAATTGCCTAACTCCCTTAAAAGGTAATTGTGCAATGAGCTGGTCATTTGTCTTACAATAAAATCTTCGAGTTGCAGAAAGTACAAAAATGTCTGTATCAAGGTTGCTTAAATGCCACTCAAATTACTCCTTCGTACACAGACAGCATGTACATTTCCTTCTAAGCCGTTTACACGGTGAATCGAAGCACAGAATTAACATTATTCGAGCTCTACCAAGAGCAGTATTGTGCCGCTTTTAAAATGAAACTATAATTTGAGTAAACTATAACCAAACTGATGACCGAATCCAGGTAATTCAGTTACTCAAAGTCGATAAAGTAAAAAAGAAAAAAGGAAAAAACCTCAAATATCACTTCTTTGTCTTAACGATACACGGTACAATGCCCGTGTGGCGGACAAAAGACCGACAACCCTGGGAGTGCAAATCGCCGGCTCTCGCGTCCTGCAAATTACTCATTAACGAGTCATTTGCGTATGTGGGCAGTCTTACTCATCGGCGTGGGCACAGGGGTGGAGCCAGTAAATCATTGTGCCGGCGTCAATGATGCCAACGGAGTGTGGACAATGCCCGAAACATGAAGTGGTGACAAACTGTTTAAAGAACACATTTGAAGTATCTAGCCAGATGAATAATTTCGGGGAAGGGAAGGCAAAAATTATTCTCACTTTGTATTTGCAACTGAGGACCGAAAAATTGTCAGCATAAATAAACACTCAAACACACAATGCTTAAAAGTGGGGTATTTATGTTTACTATTTGGATCCGCCCTTGCGCTGCAGCGTTTACCATTGTCCGACTATCTTTGCACACTTTTACTGTGAGAGACCGGCACTCACATGGCCCCGAAGTCCATGACATTTCGAAACCCAAGCAATCCCCTCGAAGAGGTGCCGCCAACACGTGATTTACCAAAGACCCATCTGTGGTGCCTGGCGATTCGCCTAATTGTTCTATCACCACCTAAAACGTTTTACGAGTTGTGTTCAATCCATTATAAGTATAATGGCCTGTATCCTGTCCTCACTTTAGCAAGGCCCAGTTAACAAATGGCCACTCACTGCTCAAACTGCAGTCGTCATCGTGTTTGAAAAAAATGTTCGTGTTTGAAGGGATCACTGACGTGTCTACATAGGATTTTCTTTAATTCTTGAAATGCCAACAACTGCAATGCCCCAACTTGGGCCGTGTACCGCGAATAAAATTCACGCCCCACAGGAGGTGCAGGTTCCCGCACCAAGACCCAGTCCACCAAGAACATCGTTTACCATCGCTCACATTTCCATAACAAGGAGTATTAACAAAAATTTGGCTCAACATTTCGCTGCTTCTAATATGCCTTCGATCACGCTGTAATGTCCCAAAACTAAGTTCCCCAAAATATATATAGTGGTCATCAGTAAAATTGGTTTCGATAGAAACCAGAAAAAGGTGCATCTTAAGAATTATTCAGCTAAAAGTCTAGTACCACAGGCCTGAGGAAAAAATACTGGGGCATTTGAGGTCATGCAGATAAACAATTTTTAAAATAGGTAACCACAACGAAAATAACTTCTCAGTTTCCATTACGAGAACACCGAGGATCTTAATGAATTCTAGGAACTTAACGCATGTGAAAACCAGCTGAACGAGAACTACTGAGGAAGGTAGAACAAAGAAAATAAGACTAGTCTGAGAAAGTTACTCCCTAGAATAAACAAATTGCAGGCTTTAAGTAGTAAACAGCCCGAAATACAGGGACAAATTGAATCATGCAACATCAGTAAACAGAATCGGACCACGCGATGGTTAAGGGGAATCATGGCGAAGCGTAATTATGCATCCAAGTACTTGGAACATGGGATGATTTTACGAACAAACATGCAGCACAACATTTAAACACGGCTATTAAGAGTACAAAATTCCTATTACCCTCAAAATGGCAAATGCATAGTGGGCTGGGTTGGGGGCAGTTTTAAATCATGCGCCAGTCGAAAGCATGCTGTCGGTGGAAACCTTAAGCGTGGGCTTCAGCCACGTTTAAATAGAACGTCCGTGGTTACTTCAAGTCTATTTTTATCACAACGGAAAACGCAAACGACGAGGTGTGATATTAGAGCTACACAAAAGCAGTTCAATTTGAATGAGGCGACCAAATCAGAATGACAGGGTGCCTTTCGCTGAGGCTACCAGACGTCCCCTGACGAAATACGGACCCTGTGATTAAGTTGACAGTGATGTGTGGGATGTGGCTCTTTCGGGTAGACTCCAGTCATTCCCAAAATCCTGCATTAAAATTGACCGTTGATTATAGTCTTTTCGAGTGAAACTAATGACGGGCAATGCATATGTGTCTATCCTCTTCCACGTCATTGCGAGAGGTCACTTGTAGATTACACTCGTGCAGGAAATACTTAGCCAGGGACACAAGGATTTCCTTCCCCTTTGGTGCTTGGTCCTTACCGACTGAAAATTATGCCGTGTTAGGATCCGCCTTAGTGTTAGCAACGTCAAAACTGTTCGCATTGTCTTTGCAAACTCCGAAGACTACGAAATTTTAAGTGAATTTTTTATTCAAAAATTAATTTAACATAATGCAAGTGTTGAATACGAAAGACCTAATAATTGGAAAAAAATTAAACTGGTGTCTGCCCATTCGGGTTTGGAAGTATTATAGCCTTAACTTTTAAGGTGTAGCATAATCGGCATTCGAGGCCAAGGTATTTCTCACAAGGCACCAAGCCGAATTCCCGCATCTGCAAAGCCTGCTTCTCACTAATCGGTGTTCTTAATGGTAAACAACGGCATTGGGGTGGGCCATAAAGCGAGGGGCCTAGACACATTGGGGCCAGTGAGTGCTAGCGCGTTTTGTGAACTTTCGAATGAATCAACCAGCGTTAATATAATGACACTTAAAAAAATTTAGGAACTATGTCAGCTCGGTGGAAAAAGTCACTCCCAGCTCATATGGGCAGAACGATTCCAAAAAATGACATATCCCTGTCCTTTGTCAATGCATCTTCCGATTATCCAAGGGTTTAAAGAACGAAAGAACAATGTTTAACCTTGACACTTATTCGTTAAAAATCAAACGCTTGGCGATCAGTTACGAGAACGGATATTCAACAACAAAATCCTTATTTACGTGACATTGTTTAGGAAAAAAATGTTAACTGGAGTACTTATTTTCGAAAAGCGCATATTCTTCGGCTCCTAGGTGTATTTGTCGTCCAAAGGCGGTGTAGATTGAGCAAGTCTACTGTCAGACAGATGAAGCGATTGCTGATAGAACGACGCAGAGCTGAACAGCGATCCACCGGTGGACTTGAATGGGGTGATGGCGGCACCCGTGCGGACAGCCAGTTGGACGAGGCAGTTGGCGGGTTTGTGCACTCCGCATCGATTCGAGCGCCACTACCCTCGGTGTCCATCATCATGAAAAGCTGCAGCCAGTGCGCTTTGGGATCAACCGTCTCCCCCCCCGGGCTCCATGCCCCCACAATACGGTTACCATTATCCAGAACTTTGTAATTGGTGGCCCTGGCATAAATATTTGCTGGCGGACAGATGCGCTCGTTTTGATGTTTTCGGTACGACATCAAACGCTCCGCACGCAGTCATCTCTCAATGCGTGTGTGCGTGTGTGCGCGAACACGCGTGTAAAATGGACATAAATTTAAGATGTTATCATGACCACAATGAAGAATGCGAAGTTGTCGTCTTTTGATTTAGCCAAATGCTTTTTATGGTGTTTTAATTTAGACTAAAGTCAGCATTTGATACCAGGGCAGCTGTTGGTCAGCCTTTTTCTGACTTAAAGAAAAAATACGTTGCAAAGAGTCTAGTAAGAGGGCATGAGCAAATAGTTTAGTGTTAGTATTTTTTACTTCTGAGAATTCAACCAAAAAGTGCTGACTATAGGTCGAACTAAATACTCAGATCCGCCTACAGACTAAATTAGCAAAGAACCACCTCATTGGGTCGTTTTGCTTAGCTTATATGCGTCGCATTAGAAAAGAACAATGACATTTTCACTTGTTGAAAAAAGTCACATGACGTAACAGGAAAATATTAACAGAGTTCTTATTTTGGAGCAAAGTTTCGTACCAAATTTGAAAGCAACCAATTACCAAGCGATACTAACAGCTCACGATTCTAAGGTGATGCTTGCAAACATCAATTGCCTTGGCAATCAGTGATAGGTAATACAGAAGGTACGTACTGACGTCTAAAAGTGTTCAACAGAACGTCTTGATATGAGGTGGCATTTTCAACTGAAAAACTAAGTCTTTTTTACTTAAAAGGTTTTGCATAGAGATTGACCTTTAGGTAAAATAAAAAATTTATTTCGATACAAATAATTTATTGTTAAATAACAACTGGCTTCAAGGAGGGCAAAGTACTAAAGTAGCATTATTCTACCGATGTATCGGGTTCACAAAAACCACCTGACTATTGGCTGTAATTTGGAAAAACTGGGGGATGTGCATTTAGCTACATAAGGTGAACTTGCTCTGAAAATACCAAAGGTTACTAACGCGTTTTAGAAAGTAGGCGCGTCTGAAGCAAAACAGGAACTGCCATGTCTGTGGAAAAGAAAAGTGGGATGAGTAATTTATGTTGGTGAATCGGTTTCCATTATTCAACGTTGGTCTTGACACAACACAATCCCCAAATTGAGAGATATTTTACATTGAAAAATTCACAGGTCTGATAAATCGCACCATCGAAAGGTGGAACTGGATTAACTAGATGTCGGCACACTGTAGGCTGTGAGAGAACTTGAAGCCGTGTTAGTGGCGGGGCTGTCGTCACGGGCGTCACCAGCCGGACAGAAGCAGGCAACTGGGCCGGGCTCGTGCACGACCGCCTCAGCAGGCGGCACAATGACACATCCAACTGTCACTCCACTGTACCATTAAAATGGTTTAGTATCAAAAAATTCCCCGTGGAAAGGAAACTAAGAAATTCAGGGAACCTTGATGAGGCGCTTAAGTAACCAACCCTGTACTTTTGTACACTCCATAGATCGACTCGTGTATGATGCTATCGCCGTGATCGGCGTCACTATCGGGACCACATTACCTTAGGTTGCAAATTAATTTTAATTGTCAAATAAATAAATGTGCTCAAGTTGATGTGGATCTTAAATGTATGGAACTCGGTAGTGTACCTGGACAATCAGAGAACAAGTTTTACAGATAGTGGATAAGATGTGACTTGTAAGCCAAATTATTATAGTTGCATTGATCACACACTGCATGGTCGTTCTATGAAGCCAAAACACAGAAAAAGATTTCACAGTTTAATGAAACCTGTAGAAAGTTTGGATTTTGAATAGTGATTTCAGAGGACAAATACTTTGTGGTTATTAAATTGAACGTTTAAAGTCCCGAAAATTAATAATTGGTTTCTAAGCTCATAAAGGATAACGCAGCGTGGATTCTGGATGCATTGAACGTGCATATTTTTTTAGGGGCAACGACGTTCGCTCACCACGCAGTGTTTAGTGACTCAGCAAATGAATGGGAAGGGTTCTGGGGTAGCTGAGAACTACAAATGCTGCGGTTTTATATGGAATTTTTTTGCGGCATTTGAAGACAATTACTACCATAAATTTTACAAGAAAAATGTGCACATTCCAATGTTGAATGTGGTCGTATCCTACATGGATTAAAAAGGTGATCCAACCAGGCTTTCACGAACAAGGGAAGATTGTTGAACACGCACTATGCGAGCCGAATTAAATCGTGTCATTCAACGTGACTTAAACTAATGTTTAAAAGGTATTTAACCATGGAATTTACAAAAAAAAACTACAAAACAGCAAAACCCCATTTTAGAAGCAGTAGGTTCGGAGATGCAGGACTAACAGGGCGTCTCGGCATTCTCGCATGCCCGTTCCAATCGTTTTAGTGTTTAGGTGTCCAAGTGAGTGGAGGGCGTAATACACCTTCAACACAATTTCCAGATCGCCACCAAAACTATTTTTAGTTTTACACAGCCATTCTCCTTCCTTTTGATGCATGGCTGACTTGTGGCAGTTGAACGGATTTCGCACTTAAACAGCATCGAATTCTAAAAAGAGTTTATTGGTTTGCAAGAGCCAGCGGTCCACTAAAAATCGAGTATATTAAGCAGTAAATACATTGTCAATTCCTGGGATATATGTTGGTTAAAGTAAGTGTACAATTTGAAATGTTGGCTTGACCTATTCAAAATAACGGCATCTAGAAATTTATCAATTGGCAGGGTTAAGTACTTGGTAGAAAATCTAACTTAGTCCAGATCTTTAAATGTGCTTAGTCTGAACTAAAAGTCTTACTGTTTTATTGGTTCGAGATATCATTGTGTGAATGTAAGCCTACACTCCGGACATGATAACAAGGGGATTTCAAATGCACCATTCGTTAGTTTAAAGCGTAGATTCCCACACAACGTTTTCGACAGACAAGGTGTGTTTAACGAGTGAGATTTGAGTTCGCTCCCTCATGAACACGGCGCGGGGAGGCTTTGAGTGACGACAGTTTCCTTTTCCGCTTTCAGGCGAGCTTCGTGCGAAGGCGGAGCAGGTAAAACGAAACCCCTAAATGATTTTTGTTCGCGTTCATTCACAGTGTCGAGAAAACTTAGTCATGTAGATCGCGGTGCTTTTTAAATTGCATTCTTCATTCTTGGTGTATTTTATGCAACATGCACCTACACAAAAGGAATAAATACGCACACTACATGTCCAAATTCTCATTTACACCAAATTAACCAATAATTCAAGAGTTCGGAAAATTTCAATTACGATAAATAGCATTTTAATATCTTTGCACGGTTATTCCCTCCTATAAATCTTCGTTGGTCATTACTGAATTTAGCGATTCATTAAAATATTTGACATTTAACGCTTAGAAACACAGACACATAAAGACGCCTCGCGCTTTCACACGGGATTCAAATTAAATAGTTTATATATTTCTGTTGCGATGTCTAGTCGGTTAGCTGTGGATATCCTTTTGAGAAGTAGACCTGAAGTTGGAGGATATGTCTTCCAAAATGTCTTTTGCTTATACGAAATATTTGTTTAAATTATTAGAAATCAACCATCAAAATCGAAACAGTATGACTGAAGTTGTGGCCATCAAAAATCTAGGCAAAAACATTGACGTGAACTTCGGTCAAAGCTATGGTGGACATAGTGCTTATTTTTCTGCCATGAGCGTGTACTATTGGGCCATCGTGTCTTGAAACATCATACCAATGAGATAACGTTATAGGAAATGACTTTTTCTTAACAGTTAAAACACAATTACAGTCATACAAATGCCAACTTTAATGAAATTTGTCTATTTCCAACTAAATACGCTATGGAATAAAATTCCTCTTTCATATAAAGATAAACTCAAATTTATTTTTGTTTAAGTTAAAAAATAATTTTTAAATAAGAGTCTGATTCAAGACTAAAAGCAGACTTTAGACATATTTATGTAAAAATGCAAGGTTCTGTGACTGAAAAATATCTACATTTGATTATATGAAGGTAGGAAGAGGGAAAAAAGTCATACGAAGCTGAGTCTGGTAGGAAATTGTGTGGCTTATTAATGTGTGGTAATATTTCTCAACGGACCACTCTCAGCCTTAAAACAAGGTCGTCTGAGATGGGATCAAGGAATTTACTGTTTGTTCTACACCCGATCTTGACTGATTTTGGGTAACCACAGTATTGGCCCCATTGTACTCTAAATATGTGGGCTAAAATATGCAAATTTTACATCCAGGACCATGATTGACCAAATCTTGTTGAAATCTAATTTACATTGAAAGTTTATCATTTTGCAATTGAAATTTTTAAAAGGCAGATTGCAAACTAATCTCGTTTCTCGGAAAGTAATAAGTCCCAGAGCGTCAGTTCATAAAAACAAATTAATTAACGGAACATTGAAACGAGAAGATTTTGCACAATTTCTGGAACCATTTTTTGATAAACCAAACTGAAGATAATTGTGAACGAAATCAGACCTAAGACTTGGTGGGACTCACAGTGCACACCTACAATAAATGGTATAAAAGTATTTAAAAATTGACCTTGACTGCATCAGGTTAGTGAAAAAAGACAAACCTTGATGGAATCATAGCAGCAAATAACACGGCCACTTTGTACATCCACATGAGGCGGTGGGTGAGCAAACTTGCACTCGTTTTCATCGCGCGAGCACATCTTCCGTTGGTACTGCCGACAGACTTCCAAGGTGAGCCACCGCGAGTCCTTCATGGCCGCTGGCGAGGCGGCGGCCGCCGCCGCCGTGGCAGCCGCGATGGCCGCCAGCGTCGCCGCGCCCCCCGCAGGAGCCCCCACCCCCGCCGGCGCCCCCACGGCGGGGTTCGCGACCCTCGCGGCTGCAGCGGCGGCGGCCATGTAGGGGTTGAAGAGGGGCGCGGCTCCGCTCTGGGGTCCGCCGTTCATGCTGCCGTCGAGGGCTGGTGGCCAGCAGGTTAGTTGCGGGGCCTGCGGCTGATGGGCCTGATAACAGTCGGACAGTTCAGCCGTTTTGAAGGAGTTTCTTGTTTGAAAGACTTGTGTGTAGAAAAGATAGGTTGGTGGAGTTGCAATGGTTACGCTGTTGTGCTACACCAGGTGTTGCATCTAGAAATGTTAGAAAATGATCAAGTTCAATTATTTGAAATAAATTATCAGTTTATATCCTGATCCGATGTAGCTAATGAGTTTCCCTCAAAATTAAAGATCTACTAGAGTTCTTACAAGAAATTACGCTGAAATACCGCTGCCATCGCCGTCGTGGCTACAGGCAAAAAATGCACTTGTTATTAAAAAGCGAAAATGTTTTTTCTCGAGGTTATGGCCAAACGAGTGGCCCTACTTAACTGAAATTAATTGATATTGCAATTTTAACAGCGAATTGTATTTAAACTATGACTACAGTTCGACTGTTTTAGAGAAGAACCGATCCCCTACTTAACCCAAGTTATATACAAATTTTAAAATTTGAGTCCAACAGAGTTGAGTAGAATACAAACAATACAGAAAACATACTTGTTGATGTGCTCAAGTTTTAGGTGTAGTTTAAGGGACTTAATTTCTGAATTATCTGTTGGAAAATTTGTCTTGGCTAACCTCCCCAAGTGTCAAGTTGGAAATCTTAATGCGTCTTGAAAATTTATAAAACGAGCGAAATGCAAAAGCGCAAGCATTTCGTGTTATTTATTCTAGCGGACTAGGCAAAAATGCCACGTTGACATTGGAAGAATGCTAGATTGCACGTGGCAATATGAAACATGACCGTTTGATACTGGGTCTGACAAATTTGGCGTAGGAAATGTGGGCACACAAGATAAATTAATGCCAGTCAACCTTTTCGAATGTGGCGACATCTTCGATTGGTTAAAAGAAATGAAAAAAAAGCATGGTTAGGCGCGAAATTCTTGACTTTCTAATTAGACCTAAATTGCGACATCCAAACCTGGAAGTAACATTCGGAGGTGAGGTCCTCGCAAAATGTTCCATCAGAGACCACTTGGAAGAAATTTTGCGCAAGAGTAGGTCCATGAAAAAAGGATGAATTGCTAAGCATCAGGAGCAAAGTCACACCCAAACACCATATATTTAAGAAAATTATTTTTTGACAGGATTACGAGGGAAATTATTTGTTCCAAACTATTACTGTGCAGTAAAAAAATCGCTCCAGTAATATAAGCAACATTATTTCAGGTGTGGATTTAAAAAAAATTGAAAGATGTGCCACTGCATATTTAATTTAATGCTCTCGAGTCCCGTAAAGCCTTTGCACTGTTAAAGCTTATTTATAGCGAAAACTTAACTGTCCGCAGTACTTTTGGCATAAACACCATGCGGTGAGGCCCATTGTGAAATCATAGAAGAATGTGTACCGCACCTAGGCGACATCGAAACGCTCGTAAACGTTTACCTCAACAGTATAAGCCACGGTAACCGTGGTACACAGGTAGCCGAAATCGGCAGTTGTGTTCTAAACTTCCAAAAGTTAGTTATAAAGCGATTGAAGAGGTAGTCGAATGTGACGGGTTGTTATTACCCATGGTATATATTTTAACATTCAGCCGAAACAAATTAGCAACCAAAAAGAGGGCACTTTTTGGATTCGAACATTCTTTCTAGTAATGCCTAGTTTGTTTTTAAAATCACGCATAATAAGCAAATCCTATTTTTGAGTCAATTTTAGAAGAAGCTTGCTTAAGCGGCAAATCCTTCTATGTACAAAAAATGACTAGCACAAACTTCGACCAGGGGTTTCGAAGAACGCAGACCCAAGTGAGAGTGAATGTACCATCCCATGCCACCAGAATCATGGGCAGCGGTTAAATAAACAAACATCCTTCACCATAACGAAGTGCATGGTTTTCTCTGTGCATTCCTTGGCCAAAATTAGGTAACCTTAAATGAACGATATTTAGTAGAAAAACTACTTTGGAATAATATCAGTGTGGGCATTCGCATATCGACGAACTCGAATACCACAAGTCGCATACTTTAGGCTTGATTTCGCCTAGAACTATTTGCAGTCACCTCTTTATCCCTTTTATAAGTAGTTCTAGTATACTTTAAATCGAAAAGGTCCATACGGCATCGAAAGAGAGGGTAGGCGAGCGAGTGATAATTTTAATTCGATTTTTTAAGTTGATTAAAGTCAGTGCCTCATTTACTTAACAATCAAGTACTTCAAAACACAATTGCCTTTTTGTAGAAGTCCCTTACATTAGAAAATAAAAATATCAGCGTTATCGATTGAGTATTTGCAAAGCAATCTATTTCTCAGTTATTCCCCTTTGTAGATATTACTAACACACTGCTCATTATAAAAACTAAAGTAGCACCTTGATTTCATTGGTTCCCCCAATCATTTAAGTTGCCAATACAGAAACCGGAAAAGTCGTAGGTTAAGAGCACAAAAAGAATAGTCAGTCGCAGATTTTGGATCTCATCCTCAGGGTGTGATTGGGCCGGAACACAACAGTAAGCAACCTCCCTGACCTGGACAAGTGCGACGGCATTTCAGTTAGCCAGGGCAAAAGCAAGTGCTTATACATGGCAAATGATACGCAGCCCTGCTTGTAATTGACACAATTAAGGTGGAGCTTTTAGTACTTTAATCAGTAACAACTTCTAGAACAATGTTTCCAAACATACGAGGTTGGACCTAGTTGTTGAACCCGTAGGCTTACATTAAACGCAAAATGTCGAAAACGGCAGTACAACAAAAATTGAGGCCGCATAAAAGTGCACTGACACAATTGATAAACGGGATCGCAATGACACTCCCCAAATATGCTCAACTAACTACTCGCGCATGTAACAAACGTTGTGAAACGCAACGTATGGAAGGCGGGATACAAAAGAGCTGATGTCATGCCAATTTGGAGTTTATTCAAGTTTGTAAATTACGCGGTGATGAGAGGTGACCTACAAATGACTATGCCAAAATACGTGGTTTTGAACGTAATAAAGGTTAAGTTACCCGGTTCACAAGTTGTAATAAATTTATGCAGATGCCGATGATATCGATGACCCCCAATTTTTAACTAAAATGTTGACAAACAAGGCGCCTCCAAGTGCTTTTTATTACCACAACTTTAACTGAAATTTGTATACCGACGGATTTAGTGCTTCTCGTCTGTATTGTAGCCCATCAAAGGAATGTACACTAATAGGTGTTAAATTTGCCGCAAGTGAAAAAAATGCATTTTATACAATAGCGAAGCCAAAAAACAGACGGTTCGGAGGCTAAATCACGGAATTTGTGCGCCCACAAACCAAGGGAAGCTATAGCCTCTTAGGTGCGTATCTGGGATGACTCAGTGCAGAGTTCCGCATACGTTGAAATCGCCTTTTTTCTTCGGATTCCCAAGATGTCTAAACACATGACACTGTGGGAATAGGTATAGCCTGGTTATTTTATTTACTGGCAAATGCCAAAATTACCGTGTATAATGATACAAGGAATATAAATTTAATCGGTTTCACAAATGTGGGACTTGCGAGAAAAAAGTAAAACAAACAGAATTACGCGCAGATTTGAGGTGACACCACAAGGATTGTGACCAAAGGCCGGTGTGATTAAAAACTCCAGGATTGGTTGTGGTCAACAGTTTTAAATTTAGCCAACGTGCGTGATTGTAACTAACCCCTAAGTTGTGGCGAATCTTTTTCGTCAACATTGAGTACACTGACACACACAAATTGCAATTCTCACTCGCAAGCTTAACCGGGAACAGCGTGAAGTTTACATTTGCGTTTTCCACACACACACATGCACACACAGACTGCAAAGAACTATAAATACACAAAAGATTATGCTGAAATTTCAGAAAAAATGTTAACAGCACGCTTTGTTGTAGACAAAACCTAACACGTCACCAAATATGTTGACTCCCGTGAAACAAAGAGAATTCTGTAACGATTAAATAATGTAATCTTGATGAATTGGAAAGTTAGAGAGGTGGTTTATGCGAGGCAACATAGGAAAATGGAAATTTACTAATTCAAATAATGATTCGATTGCCAAGATATGTCAGCATTAAAGGTCGGCGAACTTAACAAGGATAATGTAATCAGGAACAAAAAAGTGAAGTGAGCCTTTGTGACCACGCCTTGGCTCTGTTGGTCGGTAGTGATGTCTGGTTATCCCGTATGATAATAAAACGTCAAAAAGTGCTGAGACTAATTAGTCGAGGTTAAAAAAAGCAAAATTGCTTTAGAACAAACAAGCCGAATTTATTTAAACAGTTTCGTAAATGTGACTTACGTGTTAAGAAAAAACAGCGCCCTCTTTCTTTTACTCAAGATCTTGTGTCCCACCTGACTTTAGGCTCGTTGAACACTGGATAGAGGCAGACAAAAATCGTTGTATAAACCGCTACCGACAATGACGTTTTCTTCAATAGCTATATGCGTCACTTTCAAGGCGCCAAGTGTGGTGTCACCAATGCCACGTTCTTCAATGTGATTAGGTAGACGCAATTGTTCTTGAAATACTTATATATCTACGAATGGAACCCATCTAAAATCATGTCATAAGTCAAACAATTACCCCAACCAAAGTAAGAAATTTAGGAAACCTAAACTACTTTAGCCTACAGCAGAGGAGATTAGTTTTAAAAATGATTATGTTGATTATATTTCAACGACTTCACATCAATGGAAATTAGTCACGTCCATTACAGTCAGTTAACGCAGAATCAACTGATTTCGCTTCATCACGCAGGTAATCTCTGATGTAGATCACTATGCATACGGTAAGTTGCATCACAAACCCAGATTTTCGGGGAATCGGCTGGTATGCACTTTTGAAGGTGACATATCGTTGTCAATACGTCAAGTTTGAGCATAAAAGACACATTGCAAAGAACTTCCCCATCTATCACACTTAAATGTTACTCAAAAACGGAGCATTGGGTGTTCCAACTAAAAAGATAATCCTTTTGGAATAGAGGTTAGAATAGAAAATTGAACGTCGTAAACCACTCCAAGTTTGCCATAAGGGACAATGGATAGGTAATTTTGACCTAGTTATGGAAGAAAAACGAAAGCCGAAATGAATCTGTGGAACAAAGCTTCGACTTTGGACTTTGTAATATTTACATTTACAAGCCTCGACGGCTGTCAATTACTATTTACCTTGCTAGCGGTCTCCACGTGCTAGGTCAATCCTTGGTTGAAAACTAGGACATGCTCACCAAGTCTTTTGGGATTGCTTTTTGAAGCACATTACCAATTAGTACAGAATTCATCTGAGTGGCTTTTTCAGAGTGCAAAAATAGCCAAAATATTTTCAACATATTCATGTCAACTTACAAATTGACCTAGCTACTTTTAACTTCATTATTTCCTTTTAAGTCGCTAAAGTCATTAGAAAAAAATGTCCCGGGTGTAGTTGCTAGACTGGCGATTCAGCCTACTTCATGAGAGATGCAAGCGATTATGGCCAATACACAAACAAACGCCAACACAAAAGCATTGGCGATATGGCAAAACCCTTACCACAGGGCGAAAAAAGTAATCTAATTACGAAACGATTACAAAAAAAGATGTGCAGTTGCAAGCTTGACTTACTGGTAGGCGGTAGCGCATCTTAATGCGCAGGCGTCAGGCCCGAAGTCATGGAGCGCGTGGCATGTGCGCGAGCCGAGGGAGCCAATCGTGGAGGCCAGAGGTGTCTGACACATGGGTAAGCGTGATTATTATTGGGGGAGGCTGCAGTTAAGTTGTCGCAGCTACATACACACACACGCAGATGGAAGCGGTAGACGTCGCGGGCGGACACGAGTTGGGTATGTCTTATGAAAACTGAGCCATTTTTGACACCTGCCTTAGTTTGTTGGACAAACCTGGCCAAAGGCCACGCCCACTGCTCGCGTGGTGCCGCTTGCACGTGCGCTTTGGCAGCCTACGTGAACTACTTGCTTCCATCTTAAGATAACTTGAACTCGAAAATATCAACATTGAAAAGGTTGCGTTGATGTTAACACGCATGGTTCCTAATCGGCCTTTTCGGTTGTGTAAATTCAATAATTTTCTACAAACGCACTTTTCAAGCTT